TGTGGATCCGAATAAAGGCAAAGTCCTGATTGTGAAAAATTACCTAAAGAAAAGGCCTTAAGCATTGCTACCATCGACAATCACATTACTTGTTTGTCAGAGGCATTAAGACAACATGGTAATCCATTCATTTTGATTGTCTTTTGTTGTCGCAAGCTCTTGATGGCATTTCAGTAGTGTCTCAGAAGTTAATTTCAATTACTTAATTCCACCATAAGGTCTCTGGTCTGCATTTGGTAGATACAAACGCCATATCTAAAAAATCCAAATAGGTGGTGCAAGTACATGTATATGCAACACTGACACTCATACTGATCTTGGTACATGGTTTTATTGCAATCAGTTTGCAAGGGTTGAACTCTGAAGTCAAGGTCTTCATGGTGCCACCCTCCGTGGTAAACTATGTGTGCATTTGCTTGCCCCAAGATGGATGTTTGCAATTTCTAACGCTTATTAACTTTGGCTTTATGTCCTCTACAGGTCATTACATGTACATTGAAGCATCGAAGTCAAGGCAAAGAAGAAATGATGTTGCCCTCTTGAGGAGCCCAAAGTTCCCCCCACCAGTGAAGGAGGTCTGGCAGTGCAATTCCAGCGTCTTTGAAGAATGTAAGGTATGATGAGCCCTGCAGGATTCTTTGTTATTCCTATTAAGACTTCAAAGACATGTTAATGATTTTCTTCAAAGACATGTTTGATGAATTTTTTTGCATCTTGGTGAAATGTATGGCTTTTGCACGCTAATGTTTGGCCTACCATTACGTTAATGCAATTGCCATAAGATATTGACTAAACCTTGGTATAAACCTTTGCGCTGATTTTTCCTAGGGCCAAGAAATTTGAGAGCTTTGGTGGCATATTTCAGTTAATGTGATTCTTTTCAAAATGGATTTTGGAGTCTTGGAAGTTGTGTGCTAGAAAGGCAGAAGATGTATTATGCTCCTCAATGGGGTTTGGTCTCATGACCTTTTGTCTCCTTTATTTCTCATTTCCTCAGAACTGAAACTCTCTTTTATCTCTCTCTTGGTTGCCCGAGGTAACAAATTTCATAACTAGCTGAAGTCTTCCATATCTTGCTGATATGCCCACACAGCAATAATACCCTTCTCCCACAGGGTGATGAGCAGGTACAACATAGATGGAGTGCTATAAAAACTTGATCCCCAATTAACGAGCATACAGTACTTTATACATGGTTATGCTTTTTTTGGTAAATGCATTACACTGCACGTAAAATTTAAAATTCACTTGTCTCTGCTAATGCCTCAAGGGGTCCTTTGGACAGGACGGCTCTCATGCACTACGCTCAATTAGTCTGTGTTGCCAGTTTGTACTCTGGTGATAACCATTTTAAGACAACAGCTCTTAGCACAGTCTGTAGAGGCCCAGCAGAGCAATAAGGTAGCCACCCAACCATGCATTCACTCAACAACTCCCAAGTGCACTCATCATCTTCAAGTTGTAGGAAATGGCCTGGGAGAATATCTCCACCCATGTATAATTCAAGTTCTAAGGCACTAAAGCCAGGTTCAGTAAGGAGACCTGTGACCCTATTGGTGCATGCTGTAAGACCCTGCTACTGGTAGAATATTGTATCTGTCACCCATACTGTAAGATGTATAGCAGTAGTGGTATAGGTTTGTTCAGCAGGATGTAAATAGAGTCTGCAAATCAATATTGCCTAGACTTCCAGTCACGCCACAGGTTTCATGAGGCTGCAGGTGCTGGGCTCTGAATTGTTCCCTTATTTGGATCATCTGCTGGGATTAGCTATTGAGTTGGATGCTAGATCTGTACTGTACCATACTGTATAACTTATCACCTCTTGGTAGGTGCGTTTCTTCTACCACGTGTATGGGTATCACATTGGGCGTCTCACACTTCTCGCTGTGCACAACGGAACGGAGGAAGAGCTGTGGAGCTTGTCGCAGCAGGAGGAAGAAGGACGCTGGCTACAAAGCAGCGTTATACTACCAAGGATTACCAGCTGGTAGGTGGTTGCAGACTTCGACAATTGAAATTGTACATTGTACAGTCCTGTGCATGCACAGTTTAAAGTGAATAGTTCTTTGCAAGATCTCTGGCATTGAAGACAAGCAGACAAGAAAATGATAGTGGTGATTTCGATGGCAGCTCAGGTATGTTAATCAGCTGTAGCTGAGCATTACAGCACACATGCATGGGAGGCCTCTGTCTAGCGCTGCTTGCCCACCTAACATGGTTGTCTGAGTCATCTTTTGGTAGTGTGCAGCATCATATTAGAAAAGGTGTAGAATTGAAGTATCATGTACAATGTAGTGCATCTTTCAACCGTTTGTACAATTTTTTACTTAATTCAACTTGCTATTATAGAAATTAGTCATTGAACAAAACCTCATCTAACTACAACGTACATCATGAGTGGGTTAATGATGAGGGAAAAAACTTGGTCAGGGGCAACTAGTTTTGCCCCTGACCACATTTGAGCTGCATATAGGATTATTGATAAGCTTAATTGTATCAAATTGTCCATGCCCATCAGCACAGCACAATAGCAGTAATGCAAACCACACATGTTACATCATCACCCCTAGCTTCAATAATGGTTCTGCCCCTTTGTTCTACCATCTATTGGTCCAACCAGCACACTTTCTGATTCTCCCCTCCAATACATCCCATGCATCGCTCATATTCTTCAGCTCACCGTCTTGGTCTTCTTGACATTGCCAAGGTATTTGTTTAATTTCTGTCCGACAAAATTGAACAATGTTCCACTGTTGTGTAATAGGTCCCTTTTTGTATTATCTTGATAGATTAAATCACATTTATCTGTCCCAAACAGACTGTGATTAAGGATCAAGTGGAGCCATCCAAAATGTCTGATTCACTGATCAAAGTCTTCTGTCAGAATATCTGTAGAAGTTGAAAGATGTAGAATCAAACATTTGCAGGGACAATCAATAGCAAGGATAAAATGCAGATTGAATGCTGTCTGATGGCTAATTTTTTTTTTCTTTCAGTATTATACATTCAAATGTAAGCCTTCATGTAGTGAGACTTTCTAGCCAACAGTTTTTATTTCATTCAGAGGTGCCAATGTCTTAAGCACTATGTTTGCCGCAAAGCAAGAGAGTTCTCATTAATCACTATATATAATTTGACCTAGGCCTCCAGCAAAAAAGCCGGAAATTGAGTGGCTCAGAGCCCATGCTTGCATCTATCTGCTTAGAGGATTAGTCAATCATATTCTTCAATTATTCATAAATGATGCTTCTGGATCTAAATGACACTGCGATTTGGAAGTATCTTGCACACTTGAGTTGGAAAACAGAGGATATTCTCATGTATTGCTTGAATTGAAGCCTTTTTATGGGTTCACCACACCACGAAGTGGTGGTGAACCCATATTGCTTTTTCTGATGTTTCTTCTCCTCCTTCTTCTCCTTCTCCTGCCATTTTTTAAATGGATTCAGCTTCTTCATTTTAGGGCCCGAGGTCCTGAAATTTGGTATGGAGGTACAGTGGGCAAATACCCCTAGGCGTTTTTTAAATTATTGTGATACAGGCTTTTAGAATGGTTTTATTTGAGTTTTTTGGCTGTGTTATAGCAAATGTATTACCTGTCCGTTAGTGTGCCTTGTTTACCACCTTTGGGCATGAGTCATCACAATGGAATGCAGGGCATCAACCAATAGGCATGCAGCTTTCCTCTATTCTTCTTGCTGATTGGCTGTTGGGATTTAACTTGATTAACAGACTGCACAGAGCATTTCCACCTGCACAGAGCATTTCTTGCTGATTGGCTGTTGGGATTTAACTTGATTAACACCTGCACAGAGCATTTCCATACTGACAGTACAAAATGTATGTCTGTATTCAAGTGTTTTGGTAGGGATTTCAAGCTTTCCTGCTCCAGCATTGGAATGCGGGGCATGGACGTTTTTTTTTATTTTGAAAATCAACAGTTTGCATTATGCAATTAAAAATCCTAACCAATAAAGTAGGGAATAGCTATCCAACTGTTGTTTTAGTTGTATTTTACTTCATATTATAGTTATATCAATGTAAATCATTGTTTTCCCTTGTGTTTCTCATTCTTTCCCTGCCATGTCGTAAAATGTGGTGAACCCATCGCTGTATTTGCTCCAAAGCAAATATTGGCCTTTCTAGTTTAAACTGTATTCTTGACATTTTTTGCTTTGTCAGTTATCTGTTTCTGTATAGCTGGTATAACAGCCCATCGACGTAACACACCAGCTATACATGTGTGTGTGTGTGTGTGTGTGTGTGTGTGTGTGTGTCTGCAGGTCACATAATAAGTCCCTTTAAAGGGCAATATAAAGTGACATGGAATAATCTCAAAATTCTTTAATCATCCTGATAAGCATGTTGGCTTTGACATCAGGTGTTTTGATGAAAAGGAGAAAAAAGCAGCCTCTTGGTTCCATGGCAACAAAATACTGTTGGTCAACCAGTACATTACACGACTTATACAGTATAATGTTAAAATCCTCCAGTGACCTTATTGACTTTCCTTCAAATCACTTTGGAAGACATTGCATTCCAGGTTCTATTTGCCACTAGTGAGAGTATTGATTTGGTATTTTCCTCTTTTAGCATTAAATCTTGCTGCCTTCAAGTGAGTGTGCCTGGCATTAACTTCTGACAAATACATCAGGATTACATGTAACTCCCGTTGGTTCTCAGTGCTCATTATGTTCCAACTGAATCAACAGGCTCAAATCAAGCAGTCAAATTTGTAACCAAATTGTGCTCACTGGCAAAAATATTGCAGTTTCACTTGAACTTCAATGAAGATTTTGTGTTCTTGTACAAAGCATTTATTTCTTACCCAGAAATGAACCAGAATCACCATCTCATATAATTGTGATTTGTTAGAGATACCAGATATGTGAATCATTAAAAACACCACGTACTATCTGAACAACCATGGCGTTAAAGGGTTGTGTTTCTACCTCCATGGAAGTTGGAACAACCCATTGGCAGGGAATTGTCATAAACATGTGTTGGTTAAATTACAGTGGTTGTTCCAGTTAATCCAAAGAACCGTTTTCATCTCTTTTCAATCTTTGCAATCAAACTTTGAGATGCCTCACAGCAGCTTCAATTTTGTATACCGGTACATCAGTGATGCGCATTTAGGAGCATTTAGGCCATGTTGATTTTGTGTATGGATGACATACGTGCGTGCATGAATTTTCGTCCGTTTCAAAAAAAAGTTTTCTACCATACTGTAAATCGTACAAAACAGCTGCAAAATGAGCAAATATATATACTGTACCTAATAAGTTGCAAAAAAAATATTGGAAAATGATACCAATGTTGTGGAACCAAATGAAAAAGATGAAAATGTAAAGAAATGAATTTGAAGAGTAGATAATTCGCCATACTATACTCTGTGTCACTACTGTACTTGTTCCACCTTCTTGACCACGTAGATTTCATATTATGAAAGCAACTTTTCTTTTTGTCAATTTTTTTTTATTCGCACGCTCGCAAAGTTTTGGGGTTCCAAGAGGATGTCAAATCAACATGGCCTTACTGTCATGTGAAACTGGTGCTGTTCAACGACTGTTTCATGTTTAGCTTAGTTAGATTTTTGATGGTTTGTTTTTTTGCTACTTGCCACAACCCCTTTGAACTCTGTGGGCTCACACAGAAAGTCTGTGTTTGACCAATGATTTCTGATTTCAGGTTCTACCTACAGTTTGCAGCTAATATAACTGAAGATTGGGTGGAGGGAGACATTGCTGTGGATGATGTGTCACTCAGCCCACAGTGTTTTGGACTAAGTAAGTCAAATACCATCTAATGGTTCCCTTGCTATCTACTAAGTAATGGACTGTAAATATATCTAGTTTAACTAAAAAAACAACAACAGTAACTGTTATTACGCATATACTGAAACCAGCATTCCCACCAGCCCTGTTCATGAGTGTGTCCCCAATTTTAGGTAGAGAATGTAGGGGTCTGTAGGGGCATGCTCACCCAGAAATGCACTAGAGATATATCAGGCATGTAGTACTGTCATTCAAAGAGGCAGGTGTATGTATCCTAGTGGATGAATGTTAATGGAGGTTAGCCTAGGGTAAAGTAAGGGTAGAAAGACAAGAAAAAAAGCTTTTCTGGTAAACGTTACTGGTAGACACATTGTCTGACTGACCACTTTCGAAGTTGGGGCCAGTAACATACATCATAAGATCATTGTACAATCACAAACCAGGAGGAAGTCTATCGTCCGTGAAATATGTTTTGCATAATCTATTTGCATATTGGGTAAAAGTCCTATCCTTTGTCAAATTCCATATTAACATGTTATCATTAATTATGCCAATGACATCCACATTTTGCATAATCTATGCATGGTGAGTTCACCTTTAGCTGACTTACACGTCACACATATGAAATTGTCATCATCAACCACTAAGGAATCATGGCATTTTTATTACCTTCGCCAAGAAGGTTATGTTTTCCTGGCCATGTGTCTGTGTGTCTGTCAACAGCATAACTCGAGAAAGCTTAGATGGATTATCTTGATATTTGGTAGGTGGGTAGGTCTTGATGAGACCTGGAAATGATTAGATTTTGGACCCCCTAGCGGCTTATGGTACTGCAGCTAAACTTCCAGTTTTGATATCTCATGATCTAGACATGCTGGGGTGACAAAATTTGAATGATAGGTAGCTCTCATGCTGGGGAAGAAGTGACATGAGTTTGGGCCCCCTAGCGGCTTGCTCAGGAACTGCAGGGCTATATGTTTGAAAATATTCAAAAGAGGATAACTCAAGAACCGGTGGACAGATCGTCGTGATTTTTGGTATGTAGGTAGCTCAAGTGACGCTTGACATAATTATGCGACAATTATGCAAATCTGAATCTAATCTACATAATTAATGGGGAATTCTATAAATCAGCTGCATTACATTATAGGACTATTCAAGCTTGTGACATATGTAATTGAGAACGAGAGAAACACAGACAGATATTGATTATGTAAATTAACACTTAATTTGCATAATTAATGAGAAAATGTTATAATTCCATAAGGCTAACTGCCTAGAATTTCATACTTGGGGTATTTGAAAGTTAAGTGAAGGTGAACATAATTAAACATAACTTATTCAAATAAGGACCTCATTTGCATAATTTTTGAGGAAATGATAGAATGGCTTTCATTGTAAAATAAGGCTGTCTTTTGATGGTGAATATGATCAACTGATATAATTCATGCAAATGAGGATCATATTTGCATAATCAGGAAGAATCATCTCTGTCAGTCATAAGGTCTCGGACCGGAGTTTCCCTCCGTATTTCGAGCAATTTGACACCCTCAGCCCGACGGGCTGTCATTTCTGTACTAAACGCGGGTCGGAATTTTTCACTCTTTTGGTGGAAAGGGGTGCCGTGCCGCTTATCAATACACTTGATTGATATTTTCTGCGCCCAATTTATTTAGGGGTAAATGAGGCACATCAAAGTACATTTTGAAAAAAGGGGTCATTTTTTTCGTCATTTTTAACCATGGCTGCATGGAAAAAACGAATTTTCCCAGGGTAACGGCTTAGTACTCGAAGAAGCTCAGAACCTAATGTTTCCAAAATTTGAATTTAATTAAAATCGATGTGATAAGTTTATCGCTATCTTCGATGGCCCGAACACACCCAGAACGCATATAGAACGTACCATCCCGGCGGTCAGGCGAAAAGGCCACATAACCATCCGCGCGGACGAATACCAGGAAGTCTTAGCTGGACCACCAACATTACGCCACCTATAAAGGCTACAACTAACAGGCTTTTCAGAAAATACAAAGATATGTACACAGATATTACGATTTCAGGGATATCGCGGCCAAAACATACCATACAAAGTCACGTTTCCGGCGATTTACTGCGCACTTACTTAGACTCTGGTCAGAATTAAACTCCGACCCGGAACCATAAAGATTAACATCATTTGGCATCATTTCATAATTTGTACTTGTTAATGTTCAACCCACCATAGATTATGTATTACAGTCCTATTTCATGCATCCTCCTTATACTTGAACGCACTACCAGCAACATCTGAATTAGATTTGCCATATGATCTATGATTTGATACGTTTCTAAATCAACTGTGAGTTTGCATTCTATCAAGTTGATCGTTGGTTATGAAACCAAATTTTTCCTGTTGCAGTATATGGAAATTGGTGTAGCTTAAATGCATCCTCTAAATATCAATTTTCCCCCTGGTCTCAGCCTCTTCAATTAGTTTTACATAGCCTGAACAGGTGGTTGCAACTACATCTTGTCAAAGATCTGAGCGGCTTTAATCATATGTACACTGATATTACAATATATTTCACTCAGCCCTTAGGCTAGGGCAGTCTGGTGTTCAGTCTATCGTTGCTTTAACCGGCTCTCTTCGGGGCTGCAGGAGCTCCGTGCATTGTTTCCAGCTCCTAAGCTACATGTGTAGGCTTCCCTGTAGGTTTTGCATGACAGGAGTTTAATTAGCCTACCACAATGGCTAAGAAATTTCCTGCCGTGCAAAACTCTTACGTCTGCAAAACTTCTGCCTGGTGGCCAGTTGAGCTGAGCTGGGTGGGGTAAAACTAGAGAAGAGAGCCTGCCCCAACCACAATAAACTGGACACCAGGCTTATTCTAAAAATTTAGTCAACCTCCATGGCTGAATTTTGGTGCTACACACTTGCTTTGCACACACAAGTTGGCAATGGTTAGAGCTATGAGGACCATTGCTGGACAGGTACTCCCTATGGAATGAAATCTGAAAAGATATTTTCAAAATATTTAGCAAGGACTTAACGAATTTCAACCGGAAAGAAGTGGTTACCTGTCTTAAAGCAAGGAGACCTCTGAAGCTTACCCGCACACCTCTGGGTGCACCTCAGTTGCAAATGGTTCTTCCCATTAGAAATCTTCTGATGTTGAAAAGGGCATTGTATTCAGGAAAATGATATATAACTGAATGAATGAACCAATTGGTGGACATTGATAGAAGGGTTTGTACAATTATTCCCCTATATTCCGGATGGGGCCCCACTTTTTGATATGCCCTCATACATCACCACTTGGTGGATGTGGCAGTGTCTTCAAACTTTGGCCAGAAAGACTTTGAATCATCAACGTTTTTGCTACTGAGTACTGCTTGTATTTGGGTGCTGGAGATTTCAGAGAGACAAAATATTAAAAGTACAAAAAAAAGATATAGCCTGCTTTGTCAAATAATGGCAAAATCCATCAGTCTCAGACTCATCCGTCTAGAATACTTGCACTTCACAAGCTTATGTCTATCATGCTTTAATAATCAAATTTTTAAAAAGACCACAATCGCACACTCACGTCAGGTAAGAGATATATCCTTTGCAATAGCTGTCTGCACATATAGACATTCATTTCCTGGAGATACGCAGTGTGGTTTCCAAACTATGTTTCATGTTTCTTGATGGATGTCAAGTCCAGATGTAAAAATCTAATCAGAGGAAATGAATGTGACTAGGATGAACAGCTCAAGCTTCACCAGCATGCAGAAGTACATCATTAAGTTTTATCATCCACAACGTGGTGGAGTGAGTGTTGCTTGAGAGATCAAAGCCACACTTTCCTCTGATAAGTTGAAAGCAGACTGCAGCATTTTTTGAAGTTTATATTTTAACTGCAAACTATGACATGCATGGGCTGATAGTGGCTCTCACGAGACACTGGCTACGGCACAGAAGACCTTAAATCAGCCATTGCAGACCGGGTGGTGTGGGGAAGAGAAGTGCAGCAGCTAACCCCGCCCCAATGAGTCAATGGAAGATGATGACTGCATCTTAAGGCCACACCAATTGAATTTGTTGGTTCGATATGAAATATGAAGCAACAGGGCAAAAAGAATAAAAAAAATAGAAATAGGCCTAGGCATCCTATAATAGCCCCAAATGGTATGATGCTTGAGGAAACATGAAATCAATGTCCTGGGCTGGCTTGTAATTCACACAATGAATTTCAAACTTTTAATCAAACCATTGCATTGATAGATGGAAAAGCTGACAGTAACATATCTGAAGAGATGTCTTTCTTAAACTGTTGGGGCCAAATATGAACAATTTGAAGTTGATTCAGAGCCTGAAATGTTTTTTTTTTTTTGCAAATCACAATAAAATGAAGTGACCAAAACTGAGAACCAATTGATCAAATTGGTTTGGCCTAACTTGAGTGTATGTTGCACCATCTTTAAAACGAGGTCTTGCGACACAACAATCATCATTCTGCATTTCCTGTTTATCATGGTGAGGACAAGGTGATGCAATATGCAGAAGCAGAGACTTAGTACTTTTTATTACTTACAAATATTAAGTAGCTCTTCTTGGCTTTGTTTGAAACATTTTTGAAGTGTGCAGTTATGTCCTCCTTTGGCTGATGCTGTGTAAGACCTTGCTAAATTCCTTATAAATAAGAAAACATTTGTACATGTATGTAATGCAGGCAGTTGGCTTTTCTGACTTGTAGTCTCTTGAATACTGGTAGCCCAAAGCATCAGATCTATGCTTGGTGATTGATTGTGTCGTTCAATGACACAGTCATTCTTTTTGCTCTGATTGATTAGTCTATTCACAAACACCAGACAGTGTCATATATCACAAAACAATAATGTCTGTGTGAATGTGTACAATTATCTTAAGTGGTCACTGTCTGTGCATTTTGCCTCTGTGATAGATGCCCCTGGAATGTTTCAATTAACACTGAGCTTCCTTCCTTTCAGTCATCTTTTGCTTGTGTCTGTTGATTTGCCAAGTAACTTTC